TGTGGATATAGCAGGATCAGAATAACGAAGGATTCCACTCCACTAGAAACCTCACCCTTTAAATTATCCTTCTATTCCTTTTTCTGTTTGCATATTAATCGAAGCGGCAATGCTAGATTGCTAGACACTCATAAACTTCAGCTTGCCATTTATCTCACGCCCCCAAATGGAGGATATCCTTAAAATACTGAGGATGCTTAAATGGTACTTTGTGCGATATTGCTGCTAACTCTTTCTCTACGCGGTACTTTGTTTGTCACATCTTTTAGAAGTGGGGTTTGACCTTTTCCTTTGATCGGGTTTTTTATGTATGAAAAAAGAAATGAGTACGCTGCGTATGGCTCTCACGACTGCTTACAACCCCTTTGACTTACCGAACGAAGCGATAATAAAAATGAATGCATATGCAAATGTTATACCAATTTCGAATTCGGAAGCTACAGGAGCTAAGGCTAACGTCAGGGAAGTACATAAACATGCACGCAGAATACGAGACTTACCGTTTGGTATTGATGCGCTGGAACTGTTGTTCATTTTGATGGCGAAGTGGGTTTTACGACTTCTGAGCGAGGGGAGAAGAAGAGAAGGAAAAACAGTGCATGGAAATGTTTACGTTAACGCATGGAATCAGAGCTAACTAACGAGCTGAAGAGAAAAAATCAATGCCCACTAAAAAAATGCCTAACAGAAAAAAAATCAATGCCAAAGAAACTTTTTAAGTCTTTCTTAGAAAATATGTTCAAACTAAGTGAATTGAACTCAGGCGCAGATTCCAAAGTCTATGGGCAGCACTACTAAATGATCAATCCCCAAAGTATTCTTGTTTATCACCTTTAACTTGAGAATGCCAATAGAATACCAGATACATTGTTTAGACGTAGATTTTACATGGACGGAGGTAATATAGAGATATTAAATTACTCAAATACTCGGGCGCCATGTGATGGTATGATATTTTCATCGCTTGCATTTCCAAACTATCTACATCTCGATCTTAAACGGGTGAACAAGTCAAACAAGACTCATCTTTTTGCTTCCAAAACTGCTACCATCTTACCAGAACTTGTAAAGAATAAGAAAGATGGTAAGTTTTGAGCTCGGGAAAAAAAAAATAGACAGATGTGTTTCGTCTAGTCACGAGCGAGAGGAAAAAATTCTGATTCCGTATGAGGAATCCAAAATCAGACCTTCGTATTTCTCGCTTGGATACTGTGGTTGTTGCAAACGAAAAGATGTAGCCTGGGAATTTTATAACTATTTAAACAAAATGTTATTTGCCAGAACAGTACCATGCTTGAGATGAGGCTTTAAGTTCAACTTCCACAATTTAAAAAAATTGATTTAAACTTTGCTAAGTGTAATTTCTTTATTTCGATTTCATGCCAACTGCCTCTCTCTTACCTTCTCAGTAAAGCTTGTTCAAATGAGAATTCAATTAATTCCTCAGTAGATTTGAAATGTCCGTCTTATTGTGCGCGCCACAAAAGAGGTGTCCTTCAGACTGATAAACTGAATATGAAAAAGGGAACTGTATTAATTGTTATCGTTCAGTTAGACACAGTCTAAATGATGAACACTTAAATGCTGGTCACATTACATTAATCAGGAGAACCGTTATTCATTAAAAAGTGGCATAAAAAAAACAGTTATTTCTTTTGAGAATTCTCATTTGTTCATTTCAGTCTGTAAGGCTCGGTTCAAACGTCGAACTTTACATGTGCCGAACCTAATACCTATTTGGGTCGACCCAAATAATTAAGTTCGACGGTTGACTCAGACGTCGAACCTAATGCAGTCGAACCTAAATGCCGAACAACAAATAAAACCATTACGGTGAGCGGTTACTGATATGAACCCAAGAGGATTCAACATGGCGGAGTTTTCGGAAAATTCGCGCGAGAAACAACTCGGAAGAATTTCTCATCGCTAATGCCATCCGTGAAGGAAGAAGAAGGCGCCTTAACATGCAAATGGCGTTAAACTACCTGGTTGCTCGGAGGAGGAGAGTTTTGAATGCTTGTTCTCTTGTTTTTTTGTTTATTTCATCGCAACGAAACAACATCCCCCCTGTGTCTCGCTCCTGTCGTCGTTGAGCAGAAACACTGGATGGTAGGAGAGTGCTTGGAACAATTATTCAGAGGAAAGATTCAAGAAAACCTTTCGGATTTCTCGGTCAACGTTCAGATACATATTAAATCGCGTTGGCCCATTTCTTTCTAGAGAAATAGTGACGGAGGATCCAATTTCCACAGAACTGAGGCTAGCGCTTTGTTTATATCGATTAGGCCGCGGAGATTATTTATATACCATTGTAGAGATGGCAGCTGAAGGCGTATCTACAGTCTGCAAGGGTCTGCTTCTCTGAAACTTGGCTCGCAATATGCTACCGAACTGCCCATTTTCCAGCCCCTGACAGTTTCATCGTTCTCTAAGACAGAACAGGGCATACAGAAGTATTCCTTGCACCTTAAACAAGTATATTTTGTATTCTTTAGGCATGAAGAACAAGATTGGTCCTCTTTCCCCGCCATATTTTTCGAATGTAATCTTATGCGCATGGGAACTACCTAAAAACTAGTGAGATTGTGGGAAAAAAAATTACTAATTTAATATATTCATAATGTATGCATTAAGCACGGCACATGTGAAGATCGTCGTATGAATCGAAGTCGATCTTTTGCCGTTCTATTCGACAAGCTCAGTCGAATAGAATGGCAGAGTCGACCCTAAAACAAAAGCGTCGATACTAATTGATTCAAACGTCGAACTTTACATGTGCTGAACCTAATAATTAGGTTCAGTACATGTAAAGTTCGACGTTTGATCCGGGCCTAAGACAGCATTTGCTCAATAAAGTAATTAAATAATTACGAATTTCTTGAATAATATGTCTTTCACTCGGTAGATTGTGAGCTACATTTCACTTAATATGGATCATCTTTTTCATGTTTTCAATTTTTTACCTATCAAAAAAAATTATTGTCTGAAATGTGGCCCTTACTTCTTCCTCACTTCAATTTAGATCAAACACCTTTTTACAGAAATGAATTTCGAAGCCAGTCTGTTAAACAGCTCTGCCACATCATTAGCCCAAATATGAAGGTTTTTATTGGGAAGGAGCCTACCATTTACATCACGCCGCAACTGACGATATTATTTCAGTGAAGAGGGTGCAAAAACAGTAGTCTGGGGGATACCGTTAATAATAACTTTACCCGAGGATAGATCTATTTTGATCAAATCATAAACATTTTACATACCAAAAAGAAGATAATACCACAATTATTACTTTCGCTGCTCCTTCAGTTCAGATTGGATCGCACGCCTTCTTTCACAGCAATGAAGTCGAATACAGAAAGCCAGTCTTTATAAAGATGTTCTTGAGCATTGACTCAAACAGGAACTTTTAATTATGAAAGCGCTGTCCCCATCATGCCACAACTGATGACATAATTCAAATATTGAGGATGTAATAGCTGTAGTTTGTACGACAGTGTTTACAAATTTGCCTTTCTTTACGCAAGTTGTCACATTTGACTAAAATTTTTTCTAATTGACCTCTTGCGTATTAAAAAAGGACTAAATACCTGAAAAATGATTTTTGCTGGTCCATGACTTCAATTCAGACCAAACATTTTATTAGAGTGAGTTCCTAAACAGAAAGCCAGTATGTATAGAGCTATTAATGAGCATTAACTCAAAAATTACCGTCCTTATTACGGAAGCACTGCGTCGTAATGTTATTCAAATACTGAAAATGTGAAAATAGTAGTTTATATGACAGTGGTAACACATGTGTCCTTAACTACGCACATTATTCGTCACATTTTATCGAAATTAATTCCCATATTTTCCCTCTTTTTACTTCTTTCATATTAAGATAAGGAAGACCTGAAAAATGACTTTTGCTGGTCCATCACTTGAAGCAAAGAATTCAAATTCAGAAAGCCGATCTGTGTACGGCTGTACCAGAGCCGAATAACTCTCTAAAATAATAGAGCGAAGAGCTGTCCATTCATCTTATGTCATGATAAATGATATCAGTTCAAATATTGAGATAGTAGTATGTGCGACATTGGTTATAAAGTTGTCCTTTACTCGGTAAATAGTGTTCCACGTTTTACTGAAGTTAAATCTTATCTTTTCCATTATCGTCGTTTATTATTTAAAAAAGAAATGAATATGGAAAAAGTAGTTCAGTTTTGCCGCTCCCTCACTTTTCTTTTAAATTCGTATCCAGAAAGTCAGTCTGTATTTAGTTGTTCCAGACCAATAGCTTTCACAGTAATAAGGGTTTAATTACCCCTTTGACAGCTAAGAGTGACTAGCATCCATTTTCTCCTTACTCAGAATCACAAACTTCGGTCACACGAACAAAGGAAACGATCACCAGCTAAACAGGCTCTTGATTGTTAAGCAAATTCTCCTTACCAGTGGAAAGGGTTAAGGAAGAGCTGTCCATTCTTTTCAATTTACGATGGACAATGTTGAGGATGCAATAACAGTGGTTATTGCATCCTCAGACTGTGTAAATAAATTTGCCTTTCACTGCGCACATTATGTCACATTTTATTGACGTTCTAATGCTTTTCCTTTATTAAATTCGTCACATTACTAATTAAAATTGAATACCTGGAAAAATGATTGTCACTAGTTAAGTACTTCACTTCAGATCCAATGCTTTTTAGGCAACGAATTTGGATTCAGGAAGCCCAGTCTACCTACGTCTGTCCCAGTGCTTTATGATTAGCTCAAATGTAAACGAAGTGCTGTCCATTCATCTCATCTCATGAAGGCCGGATATTCAGTATTACTCACGCTGATTAAAGATACAAAAATAGTAGTTTGTGCGAAATTGGTATTAAAGCTGTCTGTTACTCGGTAGATTGTTTTATGTAAGTCAAATCTTATCCTTTCCATTATCGACTTGCGACATATCAGAAAAGAAATGAAATGCACAAGTGTAATTTTTGCTTCTCCTAAGCACCTTAGTTTAGATATAAATCCTTTTTATAGCAAAAATTCGAATACAGGAAGATGTTTGCAGCTGTACCAGATCATTAGCCAAACATGAACTGTTTAATCAAGGGGTAGATGTCCATTCATCTCACGTCAAGATGGACGACACTGAGGATGTAATGGGGTTAGTTTGTGCGACGGTATCAATGAGTATGCCTTTCACTGCGGCGGCACCGATCATGTGTTCTAAGTCTGCTTAATTTATCAACTCTTTACATACCGAGAAGAATCAAATACTTTAAACATGATTTCTACAAGACCCTCGTGTCAGTTCCAGTCGAACTGCAATAAATTCGTATATTGAAAACCCATCTTTCTACAGGTGTTTTTTACTGGCGCACTTATTAAAGGAGAATTGTTCATTCTGGCACAGCCAGAATGGCACGATTGCCAACGCGAAGAAACATCAGGCTTTAGTTATTGCTCACCCTGACCACCAGTTTTCTTTCTCAGTGACTTGGATATTTCCGGAATGACTATTAATAGGAAATGGACTCAATTTTGACTACCACATAACTTATTCTTCGAAGAAAATTTTTAATCAACTCAACGTGATGTTACGCTTTCGCAACGTTATGAAGTGCTGTCTATTCATCTCATCTCATGAAGGATATTCAGTATAAAAAAAGAAGTTGATGCGTAATTGGTATTAAAGCTGTCTGTTACTCGGTAGATTGTTTTATGTAAGTCAAATCTTATCCTTTCCATTATCGACTTGCAACATATCATAAAAGAAATGAAATGCAGAAGTGTAATTTTTGCTTCTCCTGAGCACTTTAGTTTAGATAAAAATCCTCTTTTTATAGCAATAAATTCGTATACAGGAAGACAGGCTGTTTGCAGCTGTACCAGATCATTAGCCAAACATGA